GTCTAGCCCTGCTCGCCAGAAAGACCCCCCCCTTCACTACAACCCATGTCTAAGCAAAAGCTTGTCGAGGAGCGAGGGGAAGAAGGTATGTAGGACTTACTTCTACTGTCACTTTTATTGTTCCGAACCCCGAAATTCCGGTACTCGGGCCATTACCCCGGAGACCCTCGGACCTGCTGTGTTTGCTGCTTGCTTTTTGTTTGTTGTTGAGCTGAGACACAAGCGCGCCTTCGCTCCTTGTGCCCACTCTCATCTAGCACCCATCAAAGACTGACCAGGGAGTCAGTTGACAAGAACATCTATCTACGTTTCTCTTTCCGAAGCTTGCTCGGGCCTACCGATCTCACAGCAGTGTAACCTCTGTGATAGACTACAAAGTCTACGAGCAATAATAGACTAGATGCAGCAGCACCGCGGTGACAGCAGTGTAACCTCTGTGATAGACTACAAAGTCTACGAGCAATAATAGACTAGATGCAGCAGCACCGCGGTGACAGCAGTGTAACCTCTGTGATAGACTACAAAGTCTACGAGCAATAATAGACTAGATGCAGCAGCACCGCGGTGACAGCAGTGTAACCTCTGTGATAGACTACAAAGTCTACGAGCAATAATAGACTAGATGCAGCAGCACCGCGGTGACAGCAGTGTAACCTCTGTGGTACACAACAAAGTCTACGAGCTACAGCAGCACCGCCACCTCCGCTGCTGCAGAACGCCACATATTGTGAGGCTATGAGCCTTGCTTTTAGCGAACACTAGGAGCTTCTGACATCACGACGGAAGTCAAGACATCCTACTGCTGTGTACTACATCCGTCTGTGGACCTCGAGCGGAAATCTGGATTCGGAGATTTGGGAGATCATCAACGGTCAGCGGAAACGAAAGTGAGCGCACTACTTGGTCATCTACACCAAGGGGCTGAGAGTTCATTATACACACACGTTACCACTGCTGCAACAGTAATAGTGGGTACCTCTGTGGTGAACAAACAGCAAAGTGTTGCGCGGGAAGCCTCGATTTAGACATCGAGCAAATACTTCTGCGGCGGAGACAGGAGGGAAGACTGTATCAACAGCGAAAGTCGACCGGGAACCGTAGTCCTATTCACCGATTCCCTAAGTGAGGAAAGGGTATCAGGAGCGGGGTCGCAATTCGGCCTACAACCGGAGTTCTATTCAATTCTCTATCGAACTGAGAAAAGGGTTTCAGAAGCGGGGTCACGAATCGGCAACCGGAGTCCCCTATATCAATAGAAGGAACGGGGCTGGAAAAAACTCATACAGATAGCTGAGTAATAGTCTACATGTGGAAAAGAGGGTTTCGTCCTCGACAGACGTTGGGGAGTTTCAACCTTTATGAAGGTGGTCTCCACATTAACCCCCCCTTTTTCGAGGCTTCTTTTTGTTGCTAGGCAAGAGAAGTCTTCTTGGGGTAACCGGAACCCGACCGGCTGGCGGCGAGTAGAACCACCTTTTTTCCAACAATCTTCTGTGCGTGTGTTCGGGTGCGCCACTTCCGCCACGCAATGCCAGAAGGTTCGAGTTCGATAGAAAGTGCATCGTTTCTTGAGGGTGGTCTCCACATACACCAACAATAATATTCAAGACGAGATCATCAGGATAAAACCAGAAATGGAAGCAACATCGGGAACTGGAGGCGGAGGNTCGGGTGCGCCACTTCCGCCACGCAATGCCAGAAGGTTCGAGTTCGATAGAAAGTGCATCGTTTCTTGAGGGTGGTCTCCACATACACCAACAATAATATTCAAGACGAGATCATCAGGATAAAACCAGAAATGGAAGCAA